CCTTAGGGCGCCCCCTCCCAGAGCGTTCCCCACCCCCTCCTCCGCACGCAGTAGGGCGCAATCATTACTTGTTGCCGGGTTCTGCACCCCAAATTGGATCGGGAGGGTTGTAGATACCCGTCTGCCTCTCTCCCAAACACACGCCGCACACCCGTTCCACCCGAGCACAAGGCACACGTGGGCGCACCTGGCCCAGGCACCCTTGACCGCAGGCTCGGGTACACGTGCTCAGGGTGGGGGGAGAGGGAAAGGCTGGTCGCGCAGATGCCGCCCTTCAGAGCAGCCCTGCAGAGAGCATGCATACCCCGAGGCAACGCACCTGGGTGCACCTGACCCAAGCCCACCCAGCTCCAACATGGGCACAGCAGCCGTGCGCCACAGCAAACGGGCGGGCGGCGCTGGGCCACGGTAACCCCACCCCCACCCCCTGCGAGCCCAGATCCCCATATGTATGCTCAGGTCTCCAACGCAAAAACAGGAGGCGCCCAGCTGTGGGGAATGGATGCGGCCTTCTGGTCGTGCCCACTCCCCACCCAGGTACTCACTGGCACACGCACTTAGGTGCTCATCACAGCAATAGACTAGCTCCCCTTCCCTATCACTCACTGCGATCCGGTCCATTCCGACTCATAGCCACGCCCATTGGGTTTGCTACCATTTATCAAGCGTTTTCTACTCCGTGCCAGGCTCTGGGTTAACTCAGCCACTCCTCACACCAACCCTGTGGGTGAGGGTCTCTGATCATCCCCACTTGGCAGAGGGGGAAACTGAGGCCCAGAGAGGCCAAGTAACTTGCCCAAGGTCACACAGCTAGGAAGAGATGGTGCCGTTCAGGGTGGCTCCAGAGCCGTCACTTGACCACTACCGTGTCCTTCCTGGCTGTCACACATGTAGTTGTAGGTCCTCATATCCTCGTTAATCCCATGCACATGCAGACACGCCCATGCAGACACCCAGAGGCAGGTGTGTGCTCACGACTGGGACATACCTGCAGACACAGGGCAGGTCCCAGAGGGCGGTGACTGCATGTCCTAGGGGCCCAGGATGCCACCCTTCTCCCTAGTCCCAACAGGACCTCCAAGCTTGGGACAAACTCCTGCAGCTGCCGGCAGCCTCTGGGTGCACCTCCAGCTGGGCGCTCTCCAGGGCCCCTGGTATAAGCTAGGCTAAGTGCTGGCCCCCTGCACCGGGCCCAGCCTGGGGCAGACCGCTCTGATGCTCACCCAGCCCAGGTGGTGAGCAGCTGGGGCTGGGGAGGGAACAGCTGCCCCTGTTGGTGGCGGCAGGAAGAGAGGTTTACAAAGGGCGCCTGTGTGTGGTCTCTCTGGTGAGGGGTCCCTGGGCCCCCACTGGGCACCTGAGAGGCGGTGAGCAGCTGCCAAGGTCACGCTGCCCTTTGTTGACGCATCAACCAACCGTTCTTGGAAAACCCAAGGCTGCATGGGTCATTTCCAGGGCCCCTCCTGGGGCTCTGGCAGCCAAGGGCAGATGCCCTGCTCTCACTCAGAGCCAGAAGCCTTGGCCAGCTGCCGCCACGCTGGTGACCTCCGGCAGGCCACGCTCGCCCCCCCCCCCAGCCTTGGTTTCCTCCTTTGACGAGTGGGCCCTGGCTAGGGCACCCCATGCTTGTTGGCAAAACCAGCTCAGCCGTGGCTGGGGAAGCCCTCTGAGTGACTCACCAGCCTGGCTGGAGCGGGCCTGGCCTCTCCGCCTCCACCCGGCTGCCACCACCACCTACCACAGGGGAGTCTGGGTGCCACCTAAACACACTGGCCTGTCTGCGGCCTTGGGTGCCAGCAAGTCTGATGCAGACAGCCTGGCTCCTCGGTGCCCTAATGGTTCCCCCAGCTTCTTGGCTTTGGCCATGGGGCTTGGGGAGCTGAGAGGGGATGGGAGGGAGGTTAGCGAGAAGGACCTTTGCCCCAGCTGTTACCCTGCCAGGAAACACAGCCTCCAGACGCTCTCCTGAGCCCCCCAGCGCCAACCAGCTTACGGCCCTCAACTGTCCCGGACCACGTAGACCCGTGGCCGTCAAGCCGATGTTGACTCCCAGCGACCCCGTGCCTTTCAGAGAACTGTGTTCCAGAGGGTTTCCAGTGGCTGTGGTCTTCCGGAAGCAAATTGTCAGCTGCCTCTGGGGGGACTTGAACCCCCAAGCTTTTGGTTAGCAGTTGAGTGCACAGCCGTTTGAACCACCCAGGGACTTCACAAAAAAAAAAAAAAGACCCTGATGGCTTCAGGTTGATTCTGACTCATGGCAACCCCATGACACCTCAGACACAAAAATCAATGAGACAAACACCACACTTCATTACACCAAAGAGACATCTTAAAACCAAAAACACCAAACCCACTGTCATCGAGTCGACTCCGACTCATAGCAGCCCCCTTTGGGTTTCGGAGGTGACTGTTCAACCTTCCTTCCAAGGAGTGGCTGGTGGGTTTGAACCGCCAGCCTTCTGGTTAGCAGTCAAACGGCTTAGGCGCTGCACCACCAGAGCTCCTTGGGAGAGAGACACCTTGGGGGGGCTTAAGAAGGGGTCTCGTGGAGGGGAAGCTTGTTTAGATAAGATGGGGGGAAAAAAAAACAAACCACGCAAACCAAACCCACTGCTGTTGAGTGTGTTCCAATTCCTGGCAAGCCTGTCAGAGCAGAGCTGACCCTCAGGGGTGTTCCTGGCCGTAAGCTTTGTGGAAGCAGGTCACCAGGTTTTTCTTCCGTGTGGCCTCTGGGTGTGTTTGAACCGCTGCCTTTCAGTCAGTGTTCTTTCTGTTGGGTGCCATGGAGTTGATTCCGACTCACAGTGGCCCCTGTCACGGAGCAGAACTGCTCCATAGGGTTTCCTAGGCTGTCATCTCTATGGAAGGAGGCCACCAGGCCTTTTGTGGAGCGGCTGGTTGCAGGGTGAGCACCCAGCACTTAACCGTTGCGCCACCAGGGCAGGCAGTCGTAGCCGAGTGCCACCCATGTGCACCACCCAGGCACCTGAGCTGGGCAGGAGTCTTCGGTGTTAAGAAGGAGCTGGCAGAACCTTCACACACAACGGAGTAGGGGGCTCTGGGGTGGGAGTGACCCCGCGTGGCTGGGGGCTGGAGGCCCAGGGAGGGTGGCTGGGGAGATCACCGGCGTGCAAAGGGTTCATCCCTCGCAGCCCAGCCAGGCCGGCCAGGCTGAGTCTGGCTTCACTCCCGCATCTGATGGGAAGCTGGGGGGGTTCGTGCAGGGGAGTGGGGAGGGACGTGATGTGAATTATGCTTCAGAACGACTGCTCTCTGGCTGCGGCAGGCAGCAGGCATTGGAGGGGCTCCGGAGGAAGGCGGGGGAGAGCGGGGGGGGGGGGGGCAGGCGACTGCAGTGGTCCAGGCGGGAGGCAGGCACCTCGCCAAGTGTTCAGAGCTGGCGTGCGCCAGCATCTCCTCCACCTCCTGGAGCAACCTGCCCCCAACTCAGCCCCAGCCCCTCGCCCAGTGGGACTCTCTGTCCACATCCATTTGTCCATGAACTGCTGGAGTCGCCAGCACTGCCCTGCTCAGGTCTGGCCTGCAGGGGAGAAAAAAAAAAAAAACAACTCACTGCTGTTGGGTTGAGACCCCTTCTTGTTCCCGAGGCGGTATCTCTATGGAAGTAGATTGCAGTCTTCCTTCCGAGGAGTGGCTGGTGGGTTTGAACCGCCAGCCTTCTGGTTAGCAGTCAGATGCCTTAGGCACTAGGCCACCAGAGGCACCCAGAAAAGTAAGATAAATGAACCCTGAGGCACACACGTGTCCCCACAGGCATCACACATTCACATGTATGTACCCTGGGACAAGGGCTTGGAGGACAGGGATGGGAGAATTGGGGACAGGAGTCTGAGAGCTGTTGGAGAGTGTCCTCTCCCGAGGGGCCTGGTCAGGGTCATGATAACCTTAGCTGGCAGCCCCTCCTCAGTAATGGCCAGGGGGAGGAGAAGAGGACAGGGCCAAACCAGTGCCTGGTCCCGAGAGGGCTCTGGGGCTGGCTGATTCTGGGCCTGTCGCCCCGCCAGGAGAACCAGAGCCTGCCTGTTCCTGCCCCTCTGAGCCCGGGTGTGAGGAAGAACAGGGCGGAGTCGAGCTCTGGGAAGTGGAAGGAGGGTGGTGTGTGTGGGGAGACCCAAGGCAGGCGGGATCCAGGGTTTGGAACGTTGGAGGTTTCCGGCCACAGAGGCAGGCCTCCAGGGAGCCAAGAGGGGCGGGGAGAGACACACACACACATACACACACAGACCAACGGCCAGAGACAGGAGTTAGGAGAAGCTGGGAGAGGCAGGAACTAGGGGGCTAGTGACCTGCAGGCTGGTCCGGGCACACCACAGTCCCTGGAGACTCCCCGGGACAACAGGACGTCTGTGGCCTTGGGCGCCACAACCCCAGTCCCATGCGGGCAGCCTGGCTTCTCGGGGCCCTGGTGGTGCCCCAGCTTCTTGGCTATGGTCACGGGGCTCGGGGAGTCGAGAGGGAGTGGGAGGGAGGCTGGGGGGGTGCCCAGGAGGAAGAACGGGAGAGGGAGTCCCTGATGCTGAAGGTGAGCTGGGGTGTGGTGGGTTTCTATGGGGGAGTCCTGGGCTGGGGGGCGTTGCTCAGAGGATGGGGTTCAGAGAACGGACTCAGGCTCAGAGAGTAAGTTCAAGTTCTGGCCTGGAGAGAGGTGGGTGGAGGGTGGGGGGGGCAGTAAGGCCGTGGACCTGACCTCTTCCTAGTCCCACCCTCCACCCTCAGCATTTACAGGAGGCGCTGGGGCTGCCCGCTGAGCCAGGGGATGAAAGTCTTGCCCAGACCTCTGAGGGCAAAGAGGTCTGGGAGGCAGAGGAGGACGGGCAGGGAGAGAAAGAGGAAGAAATAGCCACGCCGACCCCCTCCTTCAGCCCCAGCCCCTCTCCCACCCCTGAAGACATCATCTCTTACATCCGTGAGTAGCCCGAAGCCCCGCCCTGTCCCCAGGCCTCCGAGGCCACTTTTGCAAAAATGAACCCTCAGTCCACTGTCCGGTGACCTCTCAGCTGCCCCACTGCCCTGCCGGCAGCCCCGGCCACTGACCCCTACCTTCCCGGAGTCCTGGGTCCCTCTAAGGCTCGGCCCCGGGTCTCCACCTCGCCCCTCCCCAGACACTCGGGTCCTTTGCCCTCCCCCCTCAGCTCCCTCCTCCAGCGCACGCCCTGTCGCTCCGCAGTGGGCCGCCTGGCGGGCCTGGACGCGGGCTTGCACCAGCTGCACGTTCGTCTGCACACGTTGGACACGCGTGTGGCAGAGCTGACCCGGGGGCTGCGTCAGCTGCGGGAGGCGGCGCGCGACACCCGGGACGCCGTGGAAGCCCTGCAGGAGACGCAGAGCCGCTCCGAGCGTCAGCACGGCCGCCTGGAGGGTGAGTCCGCGCTGCGCCGAGCAGAGGGGGCCAGAGGGGCCAGGTGGGGGGCTGGTGGAGAGGAGTCTGAAGCTTGAGGCGGACCCTGACTGTCAGGGACAAGGGGTCTCGGGAGATTTGGGGTGTGTTGGCCCCTGGGGAGGATGGAGCAGCTGGGAGGATGAATGCGGAGAGAAGGAGGGGTTCCGGGGAGACACTCTGGTCTCTCCCAGGTGCGGACCCCACTCCGCTCGCGCCACGCCCCCTCCAGTCCCGCCCCTGACAGCCTGGCCCCGCCTCTGGCGGCTGCGCGGTTCTGACTCCTCCTCCTCCCAGCCCTTCCCGCCTTACCCCCGCCCCCGAGTAACCTGACTCCGCCCCGCCCCGCCCTCAGAGCCCATGACTCCTCCTTCTCTCCGCCCCCGGGGGCACTGACCCCGCCCCTTCCCGTTCCGCCCCATCCACAGGCTGCCTGAAGGGACTTCGCCTGGGCCATAAGTGCTTCCTGCTCTCGCGCGACTTCGAGGCGCAGGCGGCGGCGCAGGCGCGCTGCGTGGCGCGGGGCGGGAGCTTGGCTCAGCCGGCCGACCGGCAGCAGATGGACGGGCTTAGCCGCTACCTGCGCGCGGCGCTCGCGCCCTACAACTGGCCCGTCTGGCTGGGCGTGCACGACCGGCGCGCCGAGGGCCTCTACCTCTTCGAGAACGGCCAGCGGGTGTCCTTCTTCGCCTGGCACCGCTCGGCCCGGCCCGAGCCCAGCGCCACGCCGCACCCGCTCAGCCCGGACCAGCCTAACGGCGGCGCGCTCGAGAACTGCGTGGCGCAGGCCTCGGACGACGGCACGTGGTGGGACCACGACTGCGAGCGGCGCCTCTACTACGTCTGCGAGTTCCCCTTCTAGCGGGCTGGCCCCGCGAGAGCGCCCTGCCTCCCTGTGTGGCCGCCGATGGCAGTGTGTCCCCGGGGCCGGAGCGCCTGCAGGCCGGGACTCCTTCCTGTCCTTCTCTGTCATTGGAGCGCGCACCGGGCTAGGGGTGGCGCCAATAAAGCCTTGTGGACTCTGACTTGAGCAGCCTGGAAGGCCAAGATCTAAGTCAGCCTTCGGGCTCCTCCCCTGTCTTGCCTTTGAGAGTATCACACAAGCCCCAGGAGCCCTGGTGGCGCAGTGGTTAAGGGCCTCGGCCAGCGGTTGGAACTACCCAGCGCGAGAAAGACCTGGCGATACGCTTCCATAAAAATTACAGCCTAGGAAAAGCTATAGGGCAGTTCTGTTCGGCCGTATAGTGCCCCCATGAGTTGGAATGGACCCCACAGCACAGGAGACAACATTTGAGACCCAGATCAGTGACCGGCTCTGCATTTCTATATGTGCACACAGCCCTCTCCCCCCCACCCCTGCGTTCACACTGATGCTCACAGCACCCACTTGCACACTGCTAGTAGGTAACCTCCATCCTTGAAGTGCCCCCATTGGGCCTTTGGGTCCCAAGGCCTGCCCATCTTTGTCTCTGGCTTTGGTCATGGTCCTGGCCAGAGAGGTCTGGGAAACACGGAGGAGCTAAAGGCTCTGACAAGTCCTGCAGGGCAGGGTTTATTTCGTTTTGGAGAACCGGTGTGTGCAAACGGCATGGTGTGTCATCAGCAGACCTCCTTGCTGACTTCACAAAGGGCTGGGGAGAGTGAAGATCAATCAGCCCAAAGCTGAGTTGTATGAGGTGGAGGTGAGACATAGCTCCACCCTTCAACCCTCTTAGGAATTCTGACACGAGCTGTCTCTCCCTTGGCACCCTCGACTTTGTTGGGTTCACTAATTCATTGCAGTGGCCACACACAACTCACAGACCATGAGATAAAATTACTAGGTTAAAACTTTGGATCAGAATCCACGCAGGCAAAGCCACCCTTCTTCAGGACAGGCCAGATGTGTCTCCTCAGCTGTGCACGGCTTCTCTTGGTCCCCTGAGGACAGGCTTCCTTTCTTGGCCTTGGGCCTGGCCTCTGCCCTGCTTGAGAAGGGGTTACAAAGTTCTTTTAGCTCTGCCAAGAATCGCCCAGTAATATATCAGACAATGTTTCACTGCTATTCATAAGGTTTTCAGGCCCCTTCTTCTCCCTCAACGAGCTGGATTGACACTGGCTGCAGCGATAGGCTCAGGTATAGCAAGATTGTGATGTGGGGTTGCTATGAGTTGGAGTTGACTCAGTGGCACCTAACAACAATTGCTTGTGGTACCCCACTCCGACAGCAAGCTTTTTGCCTAAAGGCATTCAGTTTTCTTGCTCTGTGGATCGCCACCTCCATGACTGTAGCCACTTGCTGGTTGGGCCAGGAAGCCCACTGTGCTGTTTGTGCCCGTCTCCGTGTTCTGCTGCTGTTTCTCTGCTATGTTTGCTGTTGCTTCTTGCTGGCTCTCACCTTCTCCAGTGTTACAGCTCTGTGTCCCCTGGGTCAGTGCTGGGACCCCAAGTCCAGTGGAAGTGCTCCACTCCTGGTTCCTCTTTCTTGGTGGTTATGAGGTCACCTTTTCTGCTCTGGGATGTCCCATTCTAAGCCTAGCAGGATGGCAAAACTGGCCAATCCCTTTGTTAGGGGTCCATATACCTTATTTCCATGGTCCCACCCCTCCAAGTGTTCCATGCCCCTTATTTGCATTGTTGGCAAGCTGTCCAATCCCCTTGGTAGGCCACAAGCACCTTATTTGCATCATCATCTACCGCAAACACTGAAATCGTGCCCCTATCCGGACAGCTGACACTCACCTTTCAGAGAGAGAACTTGACCATAATATCAGCTCAGACGTACAAGCCAAGGTTGTTAATCTGCTGCATAACACATGACGGCACTACGTGAAAATTACAACTGCATCTTCCTTGGTCTAATGGATGAACACTGGTCTAGGATGTGCTCAAAGTCATTGTTTCCAGTTTCTTTTTCTGTACTCACGGAGCAAGAGCACACAGCCTGTAGATACACTCCTTGGAGAGAACAATCATGGGAAAATAGAAGGGCTGTGTATGCACAGGGAGACAGCTCAGGGGGTAGGGGTGCATGAAGGGAAGGACACAGGGAAGAGGTAACTATGGGGAGGAAGTGGGAAGAGAGCTGTTGCATTGTGGGAGATTGCAGTCAATGGCATGAGACAAAGTATACGTGAGCTGCTGTATGGAAAGTGAATTTGCTCTGTAAACTTTCACCCAAATCACAATTGAAAAAAACAAATCGCACAGCCTGCCTGGACCCACTGAACACACACACACACACACACACACTGCCATCAAGGGGATTTTGACTCACATCGACCCCCATCGGGTTTACAAGGTTGTAAACTTTATGGAAACAGACTGCCTCATCTTTGCACACAGCAGCTGGTGGACTCGAACCACTGACCTTTTGGTTAACAGCCAAATGCCTTAAGAACTACACCACCAGAGCTTCCTGCCTGCACCCGTGGAGACTCTCAGGTGTGAATGTATTCGTTTCAGTTTGTGGAAGGAACTCTCACAGCTGACAGTGGAAACTGGGATGGTTAACAGAAACTGCTGAGTGGTGTTCCCTTCAAGTGGCAAGCAGGGCACGTCCCACCTGTGCCATAGCTTGGATACACCTCTGCTCCCACCGATCACTGTGTGGGAGTTACCAGACCCTGGATGGCTGAAGGGTCATATTAAGTCATTCACTGCACCGCACAGCATCTCAAACTCATTTCAGCAGTTGGACGGCAGCTTCTTATATAACGTTTGGCCCTGGTCTGAGGTGAGAGACACCCCCTGTATCCTGCGCCCTGATGCCCAAGGGCACACGTCGAGACACAAACTTAAGGGCCTGGCACACACAAGCACCAAAGTGGGAGAGCTGTTGTATTGTGGAAGACACTCCTCTACTTCCTGGAGACACTCCTCTACTTCCTGGAGACACTCCTCTACTTCCTGGAGACACTCCTCTACTTCCTGGAGACACTCCTC